CACACTCGCTCGTAGGCTTGCTCGGAACTATCTTCGGCGATGGCCTCGGTACAACTCGACTCGGCGACTGTTACAGTACAACTATGAACTGTCTTCGGCGATGGCCAGGTTACAACTAACTGGTAGCTGCTGTGCAGTTTCCTTATATAGCCGCAGTGGTGCCTGTTGCATTCCACGTCACAGTAGGAAGTTGATTACGTGTACGTAGCGTTGCGCGTTACGTCACCGCGGAGGGGTGGGAGGGAGCGCTACGTTACCGCCACGCGCCTGTGGCCTGAGTTGCCACGTTGCTGCTGGGTAGGGAGGGGTTCTCCATTGCGCAACATGTTACAATATTATTTATTACAAATATTATGTTTCTGGACATTATCCATCATCCTGTTTTTGTTTAAAAACACAGTGTTTTGGAGACTGGATTCTGTCTCTGACTTCAGGTAAAACCTACTCAGTTTGGCCCAATCGATAGAGTTAGTCCCTATCTCCGGACAACTGTGCCAGCACCAGGATGGGGTATACAAGCCAAACACAGCACAAACTATCTGCGAGAGCTAAGAAAACATGAGGCCTTGCACCAGAGAAGTAGCAGAGTAGAAATCATCATTGGAGAAACAAATTCTCCATATGGCATCAACACACCCACAAATTTTCGCACTTAATCTACACTGGACGGAGTTGTTTTTTTATTTCTGCTGTGATAACGGGAGTCCAGATGGGAGAGGTGTCCAAACTGGGTTGAATGATTGGATTTTCCAGCAGAGACATGTGGGCAGATTCCTCATATTTCCTGTATGTGGTATTTGGTTCAATCTGCAAGACATTCACTTCATTACAACATATTTTATGGCCTTCTTTATACACATTGGGCTCATTTTGATTTTTGAAGCAGACTCTGTATCAGGTTATATGCGTACCTCTAAAGGTCTGCTTGTTCTGCTAATGTAACATCTGCCACAATCACATGGGATGCTGTACACACACTGCTTCATCTGTTGGCCATTTCTAACTGGTCCAGTCTTCATCAATGTCCCGTGAAGTGTGTGTCTAGTTTTGAAAATGGTCCTGGCATGGAAACACTTTACAGTGCATCTGAATTTCTCGGAAATACCATAGGATAATGACAATGCTCTTGTATATTGTATCTGATGAAGGACAATTGCTTCTCAGTGGCTTCATTACAGAGTCAACTGAATAGATTTTACCTGAAGATGGAGACATAATCCAGTCTCTGAAACCTTGCGTTCTTAAATAAAAATGGGACTATAGATAATGTTCAGAAACGTAATATTTGTATTAATGTACCATTGTCAGAAACGTTTAGATCTTATATTCTTCAGTCTTGAAATAAAAAGTGTATAAAATGACAGACTTTTCAGATATCTTTAGCAATACCTACAGAGTTATGCACAGAAGCAACAAAGATAAAATGAAAATCTTAAACCTATGTTCCTTACAGCTGTGAAACTGGCTATACATTTGTCTACAAGTCAACCCTTCCAGCGTCTAGGGGCCAAACTCCACCTCCCTCAGCTGGACGAATGCAAACACTTGGAAGTGGATCCACAAAACCTGGCCTATCTGGAATGCATAATTCGTACTGCAGCTATCACGGGCTATCATCCTGGTGGTACCTGCAAGATGGGAAGTCCTTATGATGACACAGCTGTTGTCGATCCAATGCTGAGGTATTTGTGTGCCTCTTTATCATAGTATGTCGATGAATTTGGGTCCAGAATAGTGAATCCTGAATCAAAACATAACACGGTGAGCATCAGAAACTTTGGCCCCCTTCTCCCAAAAACATACTATCATTTTGTAAAATGATAACTACTCTGTCTCATTCAAAACTTGTTTTCAGAACTATGGATTTCTACTACTGGATGGAGCAATGTTGTGAAACACCACTGTCAACAAAGTAGATATTTACTCATACATCCATGTGACGAAACTGAAAGCACAAGAATTGTCATAACTGATGACTATAAATCCACTACCTTCTTATACTAACCTAAATTTCAGCAGTGGCAATCACTCCACAGTGTATAACATCATTTATCTCCATGATTCAATGCCATTACTGAAACAGTGCACCACACCAATTGTTTTCATTAAAACACATACATTTTATCACTTTTAAATTGCACATAACACCTGAACTGGCACTCAGATAACCTATCAACCACCTGTTTGAGATAGAAGAAAAGTTAAGATTTGGGGTTCTCACGATGGTGACTATGAAAATTATTGAAGAGTTCTTTCTTCTGGGATATAATGCTATGTAATCCATTCAGAATCAACCAACGTTTTGGAGGTACATATCACCTCAATCTTGAGGGTGATGGAGGTGACACGTTCCTTTGAAATGACAGTTGACTTTCAGTGGACAAAATGGCCTTTTATTCCAGAAGATAGAACTCTTCATAAACACTGCTGCAAGAGCCTCATACATGAAATTTATTGTCTTCTGAGATATAACACAATGTAATTTTGGAGTAACTTGTTGCCTCGCTACATGGCATCATATCCAAGAAGACAGCAATCATCTATTTAAAATATAAAGCTGACAAATTTTTAAGTTTTACTTGTGGCTATGCTACATTTATCTTAGAAAAGTAACAGGGGCACACTTTCTCATTCATAATGAATTTAATTAAAACTGAAGCTTCCTGAAATATCAGCATTTAGACATTCATGAAACATACCATTTACTGTTGGTTAAAGTATGCTGTTATATTTGCCATTACAGAGTGCGAGGTGTGCATGGTCTCCGAGTCATGGATGCCAGTATAATGCCAACGCCCATTTCAGGCCATCCTAACTCTCTTCTCATTGCAATGGCAGACAGGGCTGCAGACCTTATCCTACATTACTAACCTTTTTATAGCACAAATTTAGATCTATATAATTTAAGTACAATAAATAAACAGTTAAGACTTAAAAAAATAAAAACCACTAGACCTTGTGTTGTGTGCTTCTTAAGGAAAATACTAAGCAAGCTAGTAAGACAAATTCAGAAAAATTTAGATTGTTTAAATAAACTCCGGCCAGCCAAAGCTTACCACCATTTCAGAAGTCCGGCGTTTGAAGGTTAAATAGCTGAGTAATATCAAGGGTGGCCGGTGGTCTAGAGGTAAGGTCTATGGTTTAGAAGTTATGTGGTTGGAAGACATGACTATTTTTGTGAAAAAAAGAATGTAAGAAATTTGTGCATATAGGAAGTAAGTGGTACTATATGAGGAAGGTGAAGGTAACAAATTTGTATAGATCTGGTGGTACGTGGGAAAGACATTGGCATAGTATTGGGAAGGTACCGGGTTCTAGACCACTGTGTCTTTTGTCAATAGAAATTGAAAAGTGAATAAATAAATACGATTTTTCTGCAGCTATAAACCAAGTCGTATAATATAAGGATGATCGCAGACAGCTATGGCATACATGTTCTGGTGGTCTAGAGGCAAGGCACTGGCGTTGTAAATATAAGGTTCGTGGTTCGAAAATAGAAAAATTTTTGTAATGAGATTTTTACGGAATTATATAGCGAAATGTAACATAAGAGGGAGATCAAAGGTCAAAAATTTCCGTTGCATTGGTGGCCTATTCGTAAAACACCGGCATAGTGAACACGAGTTCGAAGGTTCGAGACCAAGTATAGTTTTGTGATTTAGAAAGTAAGTGAATTGATTTTTCTGGAATTATAACCGAAGATGTAGCTTAAGAGGAAGACAAAACAAATTTCAGTGGTGCTGGTGGTCTAGGGGTAAGACATCAGCTTAGTGTTCAGAAGGTCCCTGGTTCAAAACCAGTAGGATTTTTGTGAAAATAGAAATGGAAAGAAGTTAGGAGATAGGGTAAAGGAGGAGGGAGAGATAGAGGGAGGGACCAGGGTGAGGGAAGATTTTTTGCTTTTTTTTTGCGGCTGCTCATTAAGACACTCACCTAAGCGGGTTTTATTAAAATCCACATGGGATCAAAAAGAAAAAAAATTCGGGACACCTCTGCCCTCCAACCACCCGCCCTTAGTGGTGACTTCAAGTTATTCACTTGAGACCAAGCTAATTCAGTGAGAGTTAAAAGAAAATATTTAAAACTGTAGCACCATCTGTGGACTTAAATCTCAGACTAAGGGGCTGGGAACCACTGATCTGGAACAACTGTAATACTATTAAATTATACTGTACAAGAAAACTGAACTTCAATCTTAGCTTACAAACTTTGTACCGCCTACCACTTTCAAGGGAAAGGCTCAGAACTTAATATACAAACCATAAAGTAGCTGCCTGGGTACAATATTGTGGTTCTTGACATGACAATTTTCTGACTAATGGCTGAGTGACATTAAGCAATGGCTACATGCTTGCCACTCTTGGGACTGAAACTTTGTTACATGTTACCCATCTTTGTATTCTAAAAAAAATAAAAAATTAGTTTTCCAAATAAAATGGTCAGTGACCAACATTTTCAAAAGCAGCTTTGTAATCTGTGCATAAAAATACACTGAAATCACCCACGTTCACATCAATGATAAAATTGATGCTGGAGACCCACACCATTATCAAAGGAAACAATTTATTTTACATAGGTTCACTTCTGAAGAACCCTGGACTTGAGCCTCAAGTATATTAAGGAATGACACTATGACGCCACTCTGCAGTGTGAGTTCCAGGACAAACACAGAATTTGATGTGAGTGAAGAAAAATTTGGAAAAGGACCATTTTACAGTCACTTGGTCATTAATTTAAAACTTGTGGATTCAAACCCTGGAAACTTAGAAGGATGCCATTTCACTTGTAACTCTTCTTGTGTATCATTTGGTAAAAGTAACAGTGAAGCTATCCCTGTAACAGGCCATGAAGGACCATAGGGTTGTGAGACATTGAGGGTCCCACAGTATGTAGACAATCGGCTCAAAGATGGCGGTAAAGTTGTCAGCCTTACACGCCGGCCACACTTTACTCCCCAGGAAAATTATTTTATTAATTCCTGGTACTCATTTCTGTTCGGCCCCAGGGCCATAGTGTCGCTGGAAGGATTAGGTCAACTGAAAAAATCCAATGACCTCATCAGGACTTGAACCCGCGACCTTTCGGCNGTATGTAGACAATTGGCTCAAAGATGGCGGTAACGTTGTCAGCCTTACACGCCGACCGCGCTTTACTCCCCAGGAAAATTATTTTATTAATTCCTGGTACTCATTTCTGTTCGGCCCCAGGGCCATAGTGTCGCTGGAAGGATTAGGTCAACTGAAAAAATCCAATGACCTCATCAGGACTTGAACCCGCGACCTTTCGGCTTGTAGCATAGCCCCTCAACCAACTATGCTACCGCATGCTATACTGTTAATTATGAAGAGAGGACTAAACCCTTTTAATTATAAGTAAAAAATTATTTAGCTATATGTAAGGACTGTGATCCTATTGTAGCCTGCCCTGGGTGATTATGATGATGGAGAATTTGGTGGAATGAAGATTGGCAGGAGAAACCAAAGTACTCCGAGAAAACCCGCCTCAGCGCCACTTTGTCCACCACAAATCCCACTTGATCAGACCCTGAGATCAAACCCGTGCCACTGCAGTGGAAATTTAGCAACTAACTGCTTGAGCTATGGTGCGGCCAAATTTTGAGGGAAGTACTGCTTCAATCTTCAGAGCCTCCTTGCTTGGCTTAGTCCTTGACACTCTGGGATATGATGCCATGTAGTCTGGCAGACATTTATGAACATTTCAGAGGAACATACTGCATCCATCTTCAAGATCAGACAGTAAGCCAAACAAGTGAATACCAAGCACCTGCTTTCTGTCTTGGCTGAATCTTGGACCCTTAAGATTACAGTCACCTGGGATATGATGTTCAGCATTCAGAAGTTTACTGACATTTCAGAATAAACAGTCTCCATTTTCAGGCTTGAAAAGTTCTATTCAGTCAAGTGTATCACATACACCCTCTGAAATATGAAACATGATGTATTTCCTTTGCATTCAGAAGGTCCCTATATCAAATCATTATAAAAGAAAAAGTAAAAAGTAAAGGTATCCTTGTAACAGGCCATGGAATCCCTTAGGGTTGAGAGATGTTGAGGTTCCCACATTTTCTAGAAAATCGGCTCACAGACGGCAGCAAGGTTGTCAGCCCTGAAGAACATTCCAAGAATATTCCTGGTACTCATTTCTGTTAGAGGCTGAGTCGATCCCCTGGGCCATAGTGCGGCTGGAAGGATTAGATCAATTAAAAAATCCAATGACCTCGTCGGGATTTGAACCTGCGACCTTCCGGCTTGTAGCATAGTCCTCAACCAAGTATGCTATCACGTGCCCCCTATCAGATCATTATGCTGGTTTTTATGACTTTCATTCTCTTCCCTACTTCCTTCAGGAAACTGCTGCTGCTGTACCTCAGAAAGGTTGTCATCCTTCCAACCATCTCTGATCCAGTTCTTATAATCCTGTTCATCAGAGCACTAATGAGTTCTGTACTGTGTATGGTGGGGTCATATGTAGAGGAGATTTACAGATGCAGACATTTTTTCTACTCTCAGAATATTCCAGATAACATTCTAAGTGTCCCCGTCTTCCCTAACTAGAATGATTTTTTGACACAAGATACAAACATGAAATTGACACCTGAGGTGATGTGTTGAATAAAAATATAAAGGAAGAAAAAAGATTAACTTCTATACAACTATGGCCATTCCCAACATTAATACAGCTTTGAAACATGGACAATGAAAAAAAAAGTAGAGGCAAAAGATAGAAACAGCAGAAATCAAATTTCCTAAGAATATGGCAGGATACACATTGAAGGATCACATTAAAAATGAATGAAATATGTTTAATTTAAATAGCAGAATTCAGAATAACAGACAATTGGATTCATTGTGCTGCAAGAGTGACACCTGAACACATTCGAAAAGAATTGATGGACAATACACCTCGAGTACCAATGGACACCAAAAGTTACGCTGCAAATTTAACCTATTTTCTATAGGAATGATATGGATCAAGACATCCAAACCTTCTTGTTGTTGATGATGATATCTGTAAATCTCTGCGACTGACAAGATTTAAATTGATTTGATGATAGTATGCTATAATTGGCCTTGCTGGGTTTCTGAGTGTGTCTACTGCCAAAGTATTCCAAACAGAACACAACATACCTGAAACCAGATTTATTTCTGATAACACTGTCTTCCATTCAGAATACCTTGACAACTGACAGAGTTCAGAAACTCTGTCCAAAGGAACAACCTCTTTTACTGCTGCTCTTTCTATAACATCCTAAAACTTTGCCATAGTTTAATCATTAACTGACATCTCCAGTAGGGTAGGTCAGAGCTGTCCAACTAAGAACCAGTAAGAAGCCACTGTAAAAGTTGTCCCTTGTGCTTAATTAATTAAGCACTACACTATGAAGGCATATGGGGAGGTGGGGGTAGATGTATAAATCCACGTTTTCTTGACCTCGGTACTAGCTGTAGGTGAGTGGTCAGCTTCACGCGCCGGCCACTTTACCCTCAGGGAAAGAGCCCCTGGTACCCATTTGATAGGAGGTTGAGCGCACCCCAGAGCCAGTCTGGATGACGTGGAGAAGAGAAAATTCTTGGCCCTGCTGGGACTCAAACTCTGACCCCCTCAGTCCTCCAGCCCAAGCTATTCACTATACCAAATATACTATCCCTACTCCAAGAAGCCACTGCAGGCTGCATAATTAAAAAAATATTCTTTCCAACATACAGACATAAATATCTTCCCTGCAATAATCAGATTTATGAAGCACAAGCACAAAACATTCAAATTAAAAGTTGCCAGGTTGATGATGCTTAAAAATCATCGCTAAAGATCTTCCAGACCATATAAATATTGCATATGTTCTTGGAGTCACGCTGATTCCATACTTTACTAATTTATTTATTAAATTTTGCGTTAAATAAACTGAAAAATTATGTAGAATATTTAGTAAATACTTTTGCTAAAGTTTTCAAGAAGACTTGCCTCCATTTTTAAAGAGAAAACAGTTAATACATGTTTGTGAAATGGGAGAATAATCTCATGGGCTGAAAAGAAAAACAACTGGCAGACCGTATGCTGCTAGTTGGACAGCCATCTGAATCATCATCATCATGTTATGATGAAGCCTTCTGTATTATTCCCTATTTTTCCATAATCACCTTTTTTGTGCCCTTCCTTGCCTACCCTTCTGCATATGTTTCATCACTTCAGTTCCTAATGGCCATTTATCCAAGTTGTGTTTGGACTCTTAAAGGAATCCTACGTCTGTCCATGAGTAATGTAGATCTGTGTCATTAATCACACCACCATTTCTTATAGTGTACTTATATTCAGATTCTATGTAATGTTTTTTATAACATTTTATTAAATTTATATTAATTGATCTTGTATCACCAATCATAAGCTGTCAAACTTTAGAATTTATACCTTATCTATGCACCTGTGTATCTGTAAGATTTATTAATATCTTGTGTAGTATTTTTGTACACATTATATACAAAGATACTAACATACAATATTGATACATGTTACAGACATACAAGTGCATTGATGGGACCATATAGCAAATAGTGAAACTACAAAATGGAAGTACAGCAATTTTCACTAACAATTTGATGATCAGTGTTGGTCGAAATACTCATATGTAGCGTGATGGGGAGAAACATTTAAATAAGTTTTAGAAAGATGTGTTGCATGTTAGATGGTTGAATCAGTGACATGAATAAAGAGTATGTTTTCTGTTCACCTAATGACAGATACAGAGCCCATTTTTTGAAATGTGGTGGTTTAAAGCAAACTGGGATGATGGACAAAGTCCAAGAGAAAAATCAGTGCATCACACGGTCTTTAAGAAATTGCAAACTGAGTTTATGAACACACATATATCATAGTGGGTCTTTATTTAATTGCTGCAGCATCGTACATTCTGGTGTGTTGCGTATATATTTACATCCAGTGTGTATATATATAATTATATCATAATTTCCCACAGACAGTGAAGAACGAGAATGGGAGACGGGAGCTACCAAGTTGAAGGGAGGGGCTGGGACATATTAGGAACATGGAAGATTATATTATTTACTGTGGGAAGGATCTCAAATATGGACAACTAGAGGAAACACCAGAGCACTTGAGGAACAATCTTTGAACACTAAATCAGAATATCATTAAACTAGAATCATAAATATTTCCCTTTCCCATTGCATTAATAACCTCTGAGCCAGAACCAAAATACTAAAGGTTCTCAACTACAAAACAGAAAAACAGCGTCCCTGTTGAACATAAGGTCTTCATTTCAGTTGACATACCTCATTTAAATACACAGTAAATAAGATGGGAACTAACCAAGAGCATTATGTAAATTATTTCATTCTCAGAAGAAAAAAGGGAAACAACAACAGATGAAGGCAGTAGCAGCTTGTTTCATTGAGCACAACTTTGTTTCCTAACTCAACACTGCAGTCAGCCAAATAACATGAACAATGTCTGACATGTTAGCACTTTGCCAGTAAACCACATCACAACCAAAAGTTGAGCTCAATGAACTAATAAACTTTACCACTAAGTACGGGGCAATTTACATTTGGAAAGACACAGAAAATAGTTCCTAACAACTGAGTAATACAGACTTCATATAATTTATATTTTTCAAACTTAGTATTGTCCTCATAAAGTAGTGTGTGTATGAGTGATTTTTATAGAATATTTACAATTTATCAACAACAACATGGTATGACTGCATATGTGGCATCAACTTACTGTTTTGAGTTTAGAACACAGTCAGCAAGTCAGCACTAGTGTACCTCTACAGCACTTAAAATCATTTCACTGTTTGATGCCACAAATGACCAACATCACTCTACACAAACCAGGAAGAGTTAGATATGCAGACTAATTTCAAGTATCCATTCTGCAATATATCTAACATCTGTCTGGGTCATACAAATATATACCACAAATATCAACAAATTTTAGGAAGTGTACCATAATATACATGGTATAACAATATTTTTCAGTACTTTGTTCTGCTAGGTGTGAAGAAACTGCCTCTCTATTGCCCCTCTGTCTATATAACACTGATAATGTATAAAAATACAAGTACTGCAAAAACAAACAGAGTCCAGTTTCTTAATGTAAAATTAATCCAAATATTTTTATAAATTATCAAAGTTATCTCATGATCAGTTTCCATGTGATACTGTTGCCAAAGACTCAAGTAACAATAGTATGCAGCACTCGCTCATCCCTTCCACACGAGTTTTAAATTTCACTCAGTAAAATCAAAGACAAAATTTATAAAAGAAATGGATATGTTCAACATTTGACTTCTCTTTCATTTGTCTTAGAACATAAAGTTGTACTCTAAATATTTACAAATTTACATTATATACTGACAATTTACATTAAGCATGACTTGTTTTTAAAATACTGTAAAACACTTAAAATAAAATCTCTGATAACAACTGTGGGTAATAAATTATTAATGACAACTCTGTGATGATGACTTCTGGTTAAAACATCTCATAGAAACAATGTTAAATGGAAAGAGTCATTTGGAAACTGGACCACAAGAAAATCAATAAAATATCTTATTCACAAAATGATGATAATCATGACTTTGGCACCACTACCACATAAATATCACATTCATACACTGGAATGTTTCAGTCGTCTGCTTGATATTATAATTAGCTAAGCTGAATCCCTGTCTTAAGGCCAAGAGCTGCAGAAGGCCAACACATCATCAGTACAACAAAACTGCTAATTCCAAACGCAGGTAGCCTCCCATTTCATAATACATAGATAAATCTGCACACATTTACAGAAGCATAATGTGCTAAGAGAAGATCAGCAACATAATACAGAAATTGTTCGAGATGAGAAGACTGGATCTCACCGCACCTTCAAGATCACTACAAGTGAAATGAATATTCACAGCACACTGGTAGAGGTTAACTCACTGCTTGTACCTCTCATTTGATTGAGAGTTCAACCCATGGGATTCTTAATTCAATTATGATCATTGCTTGCTAATGCCTGATAAGTTCCTAACATTTCTGATTCAATCACAAGCCAATATACCTACATCATGACCTGACTGAATTTGCCATGGTGTTTCAGCTGCACTTCCAATGGCAGCAGTAAATTCATTGGTTAAACATCAACAATAATTATACCTTTCATACCTGCTGCACTCAAAGTTCGTAACATTCTCTTGTATACATGATGCAATAAGATTATATTATAAATGTATTTTGTGTAGACTAGGCCCTTTCTATAACACATTAATTACAGAACTTTGCTGCAAGACATCTTACATTTACACAAGATACCATACCTCAATCTTATGACTATATATATTCTTCCTCTTTAAATAAACAAGTAAAATTATAATGGGGATTAATAAAAGATTCTAATAATACATTGTGTAATATCTTATTATAACAAGACCTTCCATACTATTACAACCAAGCAAATTTTCCTTTGTATTTTGATTAGATGACTGCGTTATAAAGCATGAGGATTACAACAGATTGTAGAGGATTTGGTGTTCAATGATCATCGCTATTTACGTCACGTTCTCATCATTCTTTAAGGTTTTGCAGATTAAAATAAAAACCAAACGAAACTCATCTAAGGTCACAGTACAAATGCTGCTGTTTAGTATGAAATTTCTTTGAGGGATAACTGAATTCATTCTTTGTAATAACATGTACAACAACCTTCATACCAGAGACAACTATGAACCATATAAGAAGGGTGCTTTGAAATCACCATTAAGGCATATATTATAAGAAAAATATATTTTTAAAGACGCCCAGGAAGCAAAATCAAGATTTCATAACAATGCCATACTGATTCATTCCTCTTGCAAAACACATGCCAAAACGCTGGACTTCAGGTTCCCACATTGGTGGTTATGAAGAGCACTGTCTCCTGGTATGTGACGCTACATAGTTTGATTGAAGCTCACCAACATTTTGAGGTCATGTACTACCTCCATCTTCAGGGTCAAAAAGTAAGCCAAACAAGCAACAAGCAGCTTGCTTGGAAGATGGAGGTAGTATGTTCCTCTGACATGTTGGTGAACTTCTACTAGACTACACAGTATCACATCTCAGAAATCAATACTCTCCACATGCTTAAAATCCAACACATCACTCTACACTGAACAGTTCTCATGCAGCAACAATTCTTACTGTCAAGTCTTAATTAACTCTCAAGAGTAATTGGCTACTATCAGAAAATGGAAGTCTGAATACTTGTAACACTACTAGTATTGCAATGTCAGTATTTTCACCTAGTACAAAGTCTGTACTGCCAAATCTCTTTCGGGTAGCTGTCGCACTTTCATGGATCCATCAGCACCACAGGAGAACAGCCTTGAAGCTGAGTCAACATGAAGCTGTGTCACACCCTGCCCAATATTCTTGAAGAAACTTGAACGGGCATGCTCGCCAGCAAAGGAATACAGAGCCGTGTGAACAGAGAGGCCCCACACCTGTCAACAACAGAATGACTTCCAGTCTTCAGGCTTGTATGTCTCCTTAATCACATCAAATGTTTGTTAATAGCACTTACCATTAATGCTGCTTATGGTTTTATTTCAAGTTTTCACATATGCAGGGATCCACATTGTTATCAATATGAAAAGAGACTCAAATGTAAATAAAACCCAATTCTCTGGAGGAGATAACTGTAATATGACACAGCTCAGTAAATCTTTCAACTACTAACCCTTCCAAGACCAACTTCAAGTCTGTCTAGCGTGTCCAATGGGCCAATTCCTAACATACTTGTTTCTAGACTAATTCTTTTCCCTCACACCAACACTGTTCTCTGAATGTTTAAATTCTGAATGAGTAGTGGCCTATTTACTGAGGAAAACTGTAATGAGTATGGCAAACCTGTTAAAAATCTCTGATCCATATGTTATGCCAATGCTTGAAAACGTGGGAGAAAAATGGTTAAATGGACATTGCCAACAATTTAATATTGATAGATTAAGCAAGCTAGAACATGAGGAATAGTACAGGGTGTTCAATCAAGGAGGAAACTTCACAACACCATTGACCGGGCCCAACATTCCTCACAGATTGCTACTGTAACTGTAACGGCACGTGTTTATCGGTGCTAATGACTCATTTCACTATCAGCAGTAATAGTAGCAATCTGCGAGGAATGTTGGACCGGGTCAGTGGTGTTGCGAAGTTTCCTCTTTAACTGAACGCACTGTATCAGTCATTACAAAATTATGAATAGAACCTATGACATTATGAATTAAAGCAGAATACAAGGAGACCTTATAAAGCTTTCTTGCACAGATTTATAGTCCTGCAGATCTATTACTATTAATAGCACAGTTTTATTTTACTGTTGTGAAGAACTTATTATTAAAGTACAGCTTATGATTAAATGAACTCTGAACCTTGAAGTTTCATGCTGTCACCATGTTTATGACCTATCTCCATACTAAATTTCATGTGCTCACCATCTATGGCTCCTTTGTTATAGTCACAAAACTGAAAAACAAACAATTTTTGCATGGCCACCAATTTATTTTACAATCTTGAAAATAAAACAATAATAACAACAAAAAAGAACTCTAATAAAAGCTGAATACATTACTTCAGGACACTAAATTACATGGTTCTGGCAAAACTCTCACCTCACAAGTTTGGGCAGCTGCCATGTTGTCATTAGAGATTGTAGGAAATTAAAAAGCAAACAATGGCATGTAGTTACTATAGGATTCTGACGATGGTGTATAACACACTGATATATTGGGTTTTCGGACTTTATCCATCGTCCTGGTTTTTAAGATAACAAATAAAAACACGACGTTTCGGAAACTGGATCTGTTTCCGTCCTCAGGTGAAGGAAAACACCTACTCAGTTGGTCCAGTGATTGAGGCTAGCTATTTCTAACGGACCCAACTGAGTAGGTGTTTTCCTTCACCTGAGGACGGAAACAGATCCAGTTTCCGAAACGTCGTGTTTTTATTTGTTATCTTAAAAACCAGGACGATGGATAAAGTCCAAAAACCCAATATATCAAACAATGGCATGTTTTTTAATGGCATAATATTCACACTGAATTCTGTGGAGACTGATCAGCTGGTTCAAAAGTTGATATAAGGGACAGAGAGACAGAACAGTGATCTTATAACCCTTTTTCCCTAAAGGAAAGGAAGTAGGCTAAAATAATAGCACTACATAATTTGTCAGTTTATTTTCTTTCGAGTACCTTTAACCAAACATTTTAGCAGGAATCGTTCTCAAGATATAAATGCTGTTTGCCTATTTTCCTTCATTAACAAGAACAGTTGTAGGAACACCAAGCTATCAGTGTGACTATGGGTCCCCCAATTTCAAATTCTGGAAAATTTTGGTACAGATGTTATGCCATTAGAACCCCTATTAACATCATACTTTCTAATTTCCTACAATTGGTAATACACTAATGTGTCAGGTGGGAGTTGAGACTAGCACCACAGAAGCTATGTTTTGAAATTCAACTTCTGTCAAGGAAATATGTTTGGCGACAAAATAGCGGCTGCCTGAACTCTAATGATGGTTAATGAACCTGGTAGTAGACATATGTCTACATATTATGCATGAAATATTGTTTATAAGTCAACAATTACAAACACAGTGGTAGTGTGAAATTGTGAGGTTATATCTAACAAATTTTATGCAGATCAGTGGTTGAGGGGGGGGTGGCATGATGACATGAGAAAAACGCCAATATTTAATGTCAGATTCAGCTGAAATACCAGATATTTTTAGCTGCATTCAACCCCATTCTGTAAGTGCTCGTCAGAATTATTCATTCAAATACTGTCAATGCCAACTGAAAAACACCAGGTTGAATTTTCATTTTAAAACTTCAAATGTTTTAGGGACACTTTCTGTATGGAACACCAGGGCCCCTACACAATAAATCCCCCCCCCTCTATTTCATATATGAAACAATAGACTAGACAGCCGCCAGATATGGAGGCGTGGAAACCTGCCACATTCTAGTAGACAACAGATAACTCCCACAGCATAACAGGAGCAGGCGATATTCATACATTGCATTTTACAACCTGGCTCTCTGGATACCCACACAAGCACTATCCAATTAGCGCTCATAACTGCAGCTCCATCACCAACTGGTCTGCGTGCAGCCTAGTGGCATAAGTATAAAGATGCGGGCCTCCGACACAGTAGCATCAGTCACAGCTTCGCTCACATCAAGAGGACAGCACTGCACCAAGTCTACTCCACCAGCACTCAGACCAGCCTGCAGTGGCAGGAGATTCACTGGCCAGCCAACCCACCGTGACTAGCAAGGCCCGCCCGCTACTGCAAAAGCTTCCCTTGACCTCTCGCCAGCCCATAATTGCCAGGCCGCTACAAAGAAGACGCAGCTGGACAACCGGCCCTTTTAAGGGCGACGACATTACCGGCATCACTAGACCAGGCTAACCGCTATGAAAGGAGTCTCCACAGCATTATTCTGGCATGCTCCTTGCTCTAAGAGCAATAAGCATTTATTGCTATATTTTTATGTGGTTGTCACAGCAAACACTGACATCTCACAGACTGTAACTGTGAATATAGTGAATACACAACTACAGCCCATATGGGTGGCCCTCCAGTTTGGGGATTAAGTCGGGGCAAACACTACCTCATCATAAAAACTAGAATGTTACAAAATGTCACACGTGGCTCAACTCATCTCACAGTATCCATAAATTCTACTTTTACCTTGATGTCTCCGTCAGCTGAGCCACTCACAAAGAACTCCTCACCAGGGTCAATGGCTAGGCACTTAATGGGAGATTCATGTGCCTGGAATCGATGGCGCAGCTGTCGCTGACGTACATCTACAATGCAGACATCACCCTTCTTACCAGCAGAGATCACCAACTGATGTTGTGGTGCATAAACAAGACTTGATGCTCCCTGGTCGTGGCATGAGAAGGCTGCAACCATTAAACTGCAGTTAGAGCCCAGATTACAAATCATCACTATACCATCACACAAACTTTATCCAGTAGTTTATGCTGGTCACGTGACCAATATATTGTGAACATAACTATATCTTATAGAAATAAAGTTTGTGTCAGGGAATAGAGTGATCACTTATAATTTTTATACAAACAGAATGCAATATTAAAGAAAAACACAGTTATGAGTTAACTTCATGAAGCAGAGTCATTCCTGAGAAGCTAACACTTGCTCAGTCAGTCATGTTCACAAGTCTGCTAGTGATCCTGAGGCAAGTGAATCCAGTACACACCCACACATTCAATTTTTTTTATTCATTTTAATATTATCCTCCCATCTAAGCTATGTCTAAGTGGAAATGTTCTTGATCTGTTTTCACATTTAATCCAATTTAACAAAAAAACCTATTTATTGTTATGTAAAACCCATTGAATGTTTATTTTCTCATATATCAACTTATTGCATTCTTTCTAACAGTTCTTACTCTCTGGTCCTCTACACTCAGAAATTTTCTTTAGCCTTCTGACTGCCAAGCCTCACCACAGGAAATACCTGATAGGAATTCCAAGGCTGCTTGGGGGTGAATGCAACTGCACAGAAAACCCCACAATACTGTTTCATATAATCTTCAAACAACCACAGATACAGACAGCACAAAAGCCTGTTCCTCTAAACATTTGTATATCATGCCTGATGCCATCTACTGAAAGAAATGTTATACTTATCTAATCAGCTCATGGCAAGCAAAGGGCTAAAACCCATAAAGACAGCTAGCAGAGTTTCTTATTATCCAAGGGACTGTTTCTCAGTTAATCAAGAATTACTAATATAATGAAAATTTGAAACCACTTTCATTTAAAAACTTGGTTCTTTATATAAAGGTAAAAGGTAAAGCTATCCCTGTAACAAGCCATGAAGGCATATAGGGTTGTGATATATCAAGGCTCCCACATTTTTCTAGACAGTTGGCTCACAGATGGTAGCGAGGTTGTCAAACTTACACGCTGGCTGCCCTTTACCCCCCAGGAAGATTCCTGGTACTCATTTCTGTTTGATGCTGAGTCAACCCTGGGGCCATAGTGCAGCTGGAAGAGCTATGTCAACTGAAAAATCCAGTGACCTCATTGAGATTTGAACCAATGACCTTCCAGCTTGTAGCATTGTGCCTCAATCAACTATGCTACTGTGTGCCCCTGGTTCTTTATGTATCTGCAGCATTCAAAGATTCAATTTGTAATGACACCTTCACAAGTTAAATTATATATATATAAACTGATAAGCCTAGGGTTTATGACTCTACAAGCATATACCACATACTGGCAGTAAAAAATAAGTATATACCAGTTATAAGAGCTTTCTTCTGAGGCAAAAGTGAATCCCACAATGCAACATTCTTACTCTCCGAACTATGACCAGCTGTGGCAATCATACTGCAAGATCCAAGGAATACGAAGTCACTGGTTACCTTGTTGTGACACTGGTATGTCTGAAATGTGAAAATTCTTGGTCAGTAATGTAACAAGGGAAGAAAAATCATACAATTTCAGCATGTACTGTCTTCTAAAGCACTGAAAGCCATTACCTATCAGCAGAATTGCATACAGCAATTTTTGGTCCATTTCACTAACTCTTTACATAAAGTAATGTCTATGAATATCTTCTAAAGCACTGAAAGCCGTTACCTATCAGCAGAATTGCATACAGCAATTTTTGGTCCATTTCACTAACTCTTTACACAAAGTAATGTCTGTGATATTAATACTGCCATTACTAACATTATCATGATGTGTGTGTGTGTGTGTGTCTATTTGACCATCCATTTGCTGCTCTTCCAGTACTTTTCTGAGCAACCATCCAATTCTCATTAAACTTGGTCCTTGCAATTTCTCTCCACTTCAATATAATTTTAACTTCCTACCATAAACAAAACCAACACACCAGCCAAGTAAACTTCAATGGTGGAAGCACGAAGCATTACAAAAGGTATGTACATCATTTATGCATACTAGAATCTTCAGTTTAATCTTTTGAAAATTAGGTGTGATTTCATACTTCAGAACACATTATAAAACTGTTGATCTCATATATTCAAAGTCTATGTCCTTATATCAAGCTCCAACAGATAAGAATAATTATTTGATTTCTGTCTCTCTGGAACAGGAAGCATCCTTTGTGTGTTAACCTTCAACGTCCAAAGTGCCCCAATCAGACCAGTGATGAGGATGGTCGCCGTGGCCAAAGTCTGGCAGACTCTGACCAGTCTGGCATTTAAACTCCGCTAGTGGAAGCGCACGCAGTCCTAAATATTTATTTTTAAATGTGGTAATTACCAGACAGACTTGAGTAAAGCCCTAGTAGAGGAATTAAAATGATACCTAAGTGAACAACAGCAAAAAGGAATATACGTGTAAGTTACGCCCAAACTCATCAACGAGCCAGTACTTTTATTGCAGATTCTGCAGATTAATGTTAAAAATATATAGCAAAATTCGCTGTACATACCTTTTTTGTTATCTGCTTGATGTATATATAGGCTGAAATAAAACTACAGTATTTGATTTCACTACGAACGCACAGAAAAAAGATCGCACTCTGTATCTCAGCCATGATGTAACTTTCTGTTCACGCTCATAGAAAGGGCAATAATCTCTAGCAGCTATAACGGAAGGTCTTAGCACTGAAGAAGGGTCCCCTCTAGCTTTCTTCTGAATAGCCATTCTTTCATTCTTCTGTCCTTTAGTCAAGAGATTCGAAAATCCGAAGGGTGTAAGCAGTGCTAGCAGAAGGCTAAATGATTTTATTGCTTCCTTCTGTTTTATGGCATCAGGGACTGATAAAATTTGTCAAGTGTTACAAACAGAAACGAATTTATAATGCAGAACAACTCTGTGAAGAACTGGGAAACCATTTTTGCAGTACGCATTGAAATTAAAAGAAAAAATTTAAAACAGAGTATAACTTTTTGTATAAAAATTTTCAAATCCTCCGTTATAATATGAGACACTATGTTCTTTTCTGATACAAACAAAGTTAATTCCATCCATTTATCATAGAAATTGAGGTAGATACAGCATATTTAAACACAATGCTTAAAATTGTTTAAGCGCTCTAACAGGAACGAACATTTAAACACAGAGCAGCAACAGGCATTTAAACGCGCACCAGCAGCGGGCATTTAAATAAACTCCAGCCAGCTCAAGCTTACCACTATTTCAGAAGTCCGGTGTTTAAAGGTTAATACTATACATGAGTTTTGTTTTTCCTGTCAAACACAACAGTATATCAAACAACTCGCTCACATTTCACTGTGCTTAACTGAGTTCATTGGTTGTACAATGTTGCAACATGTTTCGGCTCATGGAGCTATCATCAGGATGCATCCCTTAAAAATTATAAATGCTATTCATGCAAGTAGCATATACACATACATGAACACAAAGCTTAAACTACTGAATTGCAATACAAATATATATTTTAACAGGTAGCGTTTAGAACTGAACCTGACACAAAAATATGCACATACATTAATTTCAATTAAACTATGGAAGGAATCAACCACTCAGAATATTTAGGATATGGTATTTCCATGGGTTCAATACTTTAATAATATTTTAACCTATTAACATATTTTAATATATACATTTTTTAATATTTTAAGACTCTTTAAGTTTTAAGTATTTAATACATTTTTAAAGCGGTATAAAAACACAACCACTTAACCTGTGTACTTAATCAGGTATTGCCTGATGATGGCTCCATGAGCCAGAACATGATATGACACTGTCAACCAATAAACTCAGTTACGCAAAGTGAAATGTGAGTTGTTTGTTATAATATTGTGTTTGACAGGAAAAACAAAACTCATGCACAGGATGTGTGATACTGCTTAACAGCTGCGTAACCAGTCACAACTTAAGGGTGCAGAACAGAATATAAGCCAAACCACAGATATAAATTTGCTTTCGGTATATATTAATGGTCACCTTTACTAAAAGACTTTATGCCTTTAAATATTACAAGCAAAGATTAAATTAAAAAGTAGAACAAGCAATCTTAAGGTGCCGTCTTCTGAACTGTGACACGTGTAGTCTAGCAAGTGGTTACCAGCAGTTTGGAGGAATATGCTGCCTCCATCTTCAGGGTAGAAAAGTCACATCTACACTGAAGACAGAGGCAACAACTGTACTTTGAAACACTGGTAGTCACCAGCAGCTGTTGAGGTCACTGTCTTCTGGCATGTGGCACCATGCAGTAGCAGTTTAAGAATGTTTCTGAGGAACATGATGTCTCCAACTTGAACCCTCAGGATGGAAGTGGCACTGTCCTCCAAAACCTCAGTAAACTTCTAGCAGATACATCATGTCACACCCCAGAAGACAACAATCTTTACAGCTCTAGAAAATTACCATCTTTTGGGATATATGTCATGTAGTCCTGTAAGAATTTGTTATGTATCAGAGGAATATGCTGCACTCAGTTCCTTCACTGGAGACAGCGTCAACATGGTCCTCTGAAACATCAGTAAATTTCTAGCAGGCTACACTGGATCACAACCCAAACAAACAGTAATAATCACAGTCACCGCCATCAGAATCTCCGATATCACCTACACAACTGAGAAGACCATAATCTAAACCTTCCACAACAGCTTGAAAATCTAAAATCTCATAAAATTATGGCCTCTCCTTGCAGGCAGAAGTCAAGTTTGGAATATGTAATGTACAACTTACGAAAAAGGGACGGCTGGCATTGCTTGCTAAACCAACTTGCCACAGACTGAGGTTGCCATCGCCATCAGCAACACCAAATTTGTTGCCATGTTCACTGAATCGAACCCTCGTTACTTTAGCAAATGTTCCAGGTGGTCGAGGGACAGAAACAGCCTGAATGTGGCCCCATTCCCACATCTGTACTGAACCATCCTGAGAACCTGTCAGGTCTGAAACAAAACAACCAGTACTGTGGCTCAAAATATGTCATTTTCTATGATGCATCTTTTTTTTTCCCTACACCATAATAATTCTTACATTGTACAAGTAGAAGAGAAACATTATGCAGCATCTCTAAAGTTATGCAATTTAAGATTACTATACAATGAACTGTGGAGCAGAATCCAGTCTCCAAAACGTTTTAAAACACAACAACTGTATTTGTGCATTATTCATGGGAGATGGCATTAAACATTAGACTCCATCCATCATTTAATAATATTTAAAACTGGAAAAGAATATGGGAGAAAGCAAAAAAGTTAACAGTATGAGCACATAAAACAAATGAAGAAACTTCTGACTGAATTCTCAAGAGGTGTAGCATTAACATAACCAGTAAAACATTTTAACATCTGTCTCAACTTCAAGAATGATAATTACCTCTACTGAATGGAAAGCCACCTAAAATAGAAAACTATCTGTTCAGTATTTGAGATTTGGTTTCCGACAGGTTTTACTATACATTAATTTTGTTCATGCGTTTAAATTATTAGACTATATCAAAACACATCACATTAGTAGGTCCTTGACCATGACTCACTGCCATGTCCATCATGCAATATAAGGTTTTCTGATTACCAGTATTACAAAGAGACTTCATGCACATTTTTTCAGCACTCAAAGTAATCTTCTGTGTTCTTTCAAAATTATGATGAAACTATTTTATTTTTAAAATGACAAGACTCTAAGACTTCAGGAAATACCTACTATTATTAAGTTCTAAAACTGTATGAAATCTTCAGTTTTGCTACTGTTATTTAACATGTTTCTTTGAAGGCATTACTCAGTGATTTCTTTTTGTTGGCTATATGAGTTCAGGGTATTTTGGGGGTTATGATGATATACAAAACAACGACTTTTCTGTATTGAAGCCATGGAAGAAGACCCATGCATTGACAATCTGTATATACCCCTCAATCTGTTACACTTCCTCCATCAACATAATTCCCTATATTTCCCTCCAGTCATCCACACATTCCCATTCACAGGAATGTTGGTAATGATAACCATATCAAAGAATTTTTGCTCAAGAGAACTCTGGGCTGGTTGGCATATGGCAGAAGGGGCTACAGGGGAATACAACAGTATGCAGAGAGAAGCCTTGAGCGCCTTCGTCCCCGCCATCTATGGGACCACCTTCTTTGACCTCATACAGTTGTTTTTTTAAGATTGTGAGGGAAGATATGAATTAGAGTTGCTTGAAAAAAAGAATGCCCAAAAAATTATTTTGATTAAGGAGGGATGCAGTAAGTGGGCAATTTAAGACATTACACAGCATGAAATTCTGTGAGTTATAAAAGTCACCTACGGTTCTTAGTAAAAAATATGGATTGCAATGGACATGTAGCTCAGACGTTGCAACAGAAATGTAAGCATATTTTTGGTGGGAAAATAATTTGGAAACTGGTTAGTTAGAGATCCTACAAGAAGAGAGGATACGAACAATAACAGGAATCTTAAGAAAACACATTTCTGGGGTCATGGGTGGATGGAACAAGACCAAAGCTTTGGCATTGCTGTTATATCTTTATTTCAAGGGTTATTTTATAATTCCTTCACTACTGCAAACTATGCAGCACTGAATACTTGGATGATAGATGTCTTAAGAATGGGAGAGGATTTGGAAGGAAAAGATTATATCCTAACTGAAGTACTAATCTTGCATTTACCTGCAGGACTGAGTAAAATGACAAACCATTGTCAGATATCTTTAGAGATTCATAACCAAAGAAATAATTTAAATCTATCAACATAAAATTTGTTCAATATTGCTTAAAATATGTGAATGAAGTTCCTAATTTGATTTGATTTTTTATGTACTGCTGTCAGCATTATGAAATATGGTTCATATCCATAATGTCACAATTATGCTCTTTACACTCTGGTATTGTTTCATTCATTCATTTTTACTGGTTCCAGAAATCCACATTTTGCAATACAGCCTCCAGATATAGAACAAGTCAAATTATTTGTATAAAAGCCAGTAATACTATAATTTAATATTTAACAACATAACACAAATTGTGTACATGTCCAACATACCATATAAAACTATATTAAAAATTTAAGACAACTTAAGTTCCCCAACAGAGTAAGCAATTCAATCCATTTATCAATCAATCAACCAACCAATCCATTCTTCCTTCCTCGTCAAATCACTGTCATAGAAAACGTTCCATACATATTAAACATACAATAGTTCAATTTCTATAATTAAAAATAAATACCCCCTTTTGCTCTCTAGTAGAAAGGAAAAAGAAAATTTCTTACATTTCATTATATTTTATATTTTAATTAATTTAATGATATGCTGAATTCCAAAGAATATTGGTTATTAACTTTGACATGACTGTCTTTTAATAGCAATAAAGTAAAACGAACAGGAACAGTGCAAGTTGCAATACTGTGAAATTCATTATGCTATAGAAATTCACGGTAAAGAGATTTAAATGTGATAATGAAGGTCAAACAGACTGTTAGAATTGAGATAAAATATTCTTAAACAGTAACAGATAAAAACATTCTCAATGCTGAATATGGTACTTACATAACGGAAGAAGAGGATGTGAGGTGATTCTCCGAATTCCATCCACTCTGTGTTTCAGCATCTGCCATTAATTTCAAAACAGTTTTAAGAAACAACTTACACACTCTTGATTATCTCTTGTTAATCACAAAACAAACTTATCCAACAAACTCCCTCATATTCATGTTTTGTGCCAACATACATTGCACCACCTAACAAAATATGGTATTGCATACAAATTAAAAAGATTTTAAAACAGGAGCAGTAAAATCTACTCGAATGGAGTATGCATATTCTTAAAAAATTGTAATTTCCATTCCACTGTGGAATTGGATGTTCATTTACTGCTGACATAACTCAATTTATTTTTTTGTTTCTATTCTTTCGTTTTGTTTTATTCAACTTGTGCTGAACTCTTGTGGCAGAAGTTAGTGCTAAAATTCACACTATGGAGCCTGTCTTTGGAAAAGCTAATCAAGAATATATAAATAAATCTTCCTCGCAAGCCATTAAATGCTTCACATCCAAGACATCACAGAGAGATACTCTTTTACAGAGCAACGGGTTTTCTAATTTGGAAATAACATAAAAATACTGAACTACTTGTACTCATCACCTTGTGGTGCATTCTAGAGGCAGAGATATCATTATGAACTTATAAAATAGACATGTCTACTGCTAAAGGGTACACAATACTTCCATAGTTTTTTTTTTTTCAAATATACATTACTTTCAAACTGAAATTGTAGATTTTAAAGAGATGTGTACTGTGTATCACATACCTGTTCCTTGTACAACGAGCTGTTTTTGAGAAAACAAACTCTGATTTCACCCATTTAAAGTAGGTTATCACATTTACCACACAACTTCGAGTTTCAATGCCCCACATCAAATTTAACCAAAATCTATTAATTAATTTTACAGACAAAACATACCAACACAGACAAAACCCCTCAATTATGGATTAATTTTTTGAATTTATGCAAAGAATGCATAAAATGTGATCCTGACTTAAACAAAGATCAAAATCAAATTTATCTGAAAACTTTCAGTGGAGATCCTCAATATCAAATTTCAATGAAAAGTGAACAGTATAAAACATGTGGACAGACAGACACAATCCCTCTCCCCTTACATATCAATTTCTTACACTCTGAACAAATTGCATTTAACTGATAACTATGCAGCAGTTGCACAACCAACAACTTGTATCATTTATGTGATGTGGTTTTTGAAGTATCCAAGAGAATAAAGTTACACTGAAAGCTTAGTTATACCACGTATAATCCGGATTTCTGTGACTTTCCACGCATTAACCATGGGAAAACTGAAGAAAACTCCTAAGATCCACGTGAAACATCTGAACTTCAGAGAACTTTATGGCCAATGATTTTTTTTTAAATGATTCTGAAAATTTGCATAAAAGTTATCTCAGTTGAGTTTTTAATATACATATATCATGTTCAAGATATTCAGGTACAAAAATGGTGATACACAAACGTTGCCAACGACAAAATGGGAAAACTGTTAATGATAATGTTCATCTTTTAAAAAATGAATACTTATAAGTGAGGTTCAAAACAACAAATGCTGCAATTCCATCTTCATTAATCCTGATACACTAACTCTTCATGTTTTATACATTTATGACAGTGTACTTAATACTATTAAAAATTTTGACCAGTTGACTAAGAATTCTGATTTCCAGATCATATATAAGGGGAACATAGGTTTTCACTTTAAATCCTGAGTCCATGGTCCTGAACTCTGCTGGTAAAAGTCACACACTTAATAAAGCATTGGAGACACATTTAAAATTACATTATGACCATTATCATTCTTTCTACTTTGCTAAAGACAATGAACAATCTGGTACTTCTTTGTAAGGTAAATACTTATTCTGACATCTTACTGGGGTTATGAATATCTGGCATGTGAGTAGCATTAGTGGTAATGTGTGATGTATTATAACCAAATGACTACACAAACCTTCTTTATTATACTGCAGTAATGGTCTACATGACATAAATAAACAACTAAAAACCAGTTCCCTGAACACTAAATTGGCATGCTTTTGTATCTCACCAAGCTGAAAGGACAACAGAACACAGTATGGGAGTGTAAAAAAGTACATTTCATGACTATTACACCATTCAAAACAAAATTAAATATATTTCTAAATGCAAATGTATCTACAACAATAACTACACAACCAATATAGTTTTAATTGTACAATCTTTGAGCTATCCAAAAGAGAAGTGTGACTGCAACTGTAAGAAATGACAAAGAATCTTTGAGCATTTCTACTATACCTATAAAAACTGGGTACTACTATTTAGACAAACAGATTCCTAAACTAAGGTGACCAGATACCTAATTTCTGAAGATAAACCTTAGAGGAGTGCAAGTCACAAATATTTTGATCCAAGTAAGATCAGTTAGGTGCGTGCAATAAGATGAGCACAATACCATAAATCCTGCATAGGTTTAAATATTGATTTCAGGTTTTCACAGAGGTAATTATGAAGAATTCTATCTTCTGGGATATAATGCCAAGTAGTATGCTGAAAGTCAACCGACATTTTGGAGTACACATCACCTCCATCTTCAGGGTAAAAAAATAAGCCAGCAAGAAATCAGCACGAAGTAGGTCACAAGCAGAGCTTTTCCCTGACCCTGAACATGGAGGAGATATGTTCCTCTGAAACATCACTTGACTTTCAACAGAATACACACTGTTATGCATGTATTCCAGAAGACAGAACTTTCATGTATAAATATGTTCAAGTACATCAGTTCCATGGCTTTCTGGGTTGTGACATCACATACTCTTGTGGGAAGATACGGACACTATAAAGAACATGCCTTAGGGTTGAAATGTGTAGCATGAGGGATGACTGGCTTGCATATGGAAGTCACAAGGAAATTTATGAGCTGGAAAATGATTCCTTTCGAGGACACAATGTGTTTTTCTTATCAGAGGAGGGAAATAGGATTGTATGAAAAGACTATCCTTTTCAGGTCCAAAATACTGCTTTTCATCATAGGGGGGAGGAATGGATTAGTGAAAACAGGGTTTGAAGAATGTTTCTCATCTTCTCTCCTATAACAACAATATTGTGGCTCCAAATAGGGCGATCTTTCTCACACTTTGATTCTTCCTCTGCAATCAATAAAAGTACTGCAGACTTGAAAGCGACCACTTTACTGCTCACTTCCTATTCATTCCCTGACTGGGCTCCACTTTCCCCATCCCTTTCTGTAAGCCTGAGTGACGCCTTCCACGCAAACCTGCCTGTACAACACAACCAATTCCTTGCCCTATAAGTTTCAACCCTGAAGATGTTCCTCCAAAACACCGGTACATGCCTACAAGACTACACGATGTCACAAACCAGAAGGGAAAAGAACATACACTTAACTAGATTTAAACTTGTGGTGTCCCATTTTTAGCCTACTCCCCTTTTTTTTAAGGAAAGAAAGCAAATTTATTATATCACGATGCTACTGTCCCCAACCATTCAAATCTGAACCACTTGACCAAATTTTATGAAACCTGGCACAAATATACTGCCACTGAAGGCCACTTCAATGTCATACTTTGTAATTTCCCCTGATGATCAGCATTAACAGCATGGCAATCACGCAAACTTGTGAGGTGGGAGTAACAACTAATTCAGGATCCTGGAATGATAATATGATAACAGATCTTCAGAGAGTATGCAAATTTTGTTTAGATAATTTTTTTGTAGAATGTAAAATGACATGGTGCTGTTTAAAACTGTCTTTAGTTATCAGTTTCATGGCAATAGTTAATGAACCACTGGAGCTATGTATGTAAAATTCAGAACAGATCATAACCGTGCATATACATCACATATACAATACCATTTGCATCCGAAAGACAGCACAAAATTTTCAGCTATACCTAACAAATTTAATGTAAAGAGACTCAGTATATAAGTAATAAGTCTTCACAAAAATTAAACAAAAATAACAACTCTAACCCATCTGTGGAACTATAAATCTATGCATCTGAAAGTAGGCTTTATGAGTTCTGCTTGTAACTCCTTAATTTTCAGTCTGTAATAATTCCAAGAACAATTACATTTTGCTGTTAAGCACCTCTCATAACTACATTTTCATCTGGTCACCGTACCAAAAGGAAGAGAAACAGACAGGGAACTTGATTTGTCAAAACTGACTGACATCTAGCATACCAACATGACTACTGTGCAACTGAAACAGAATGAAATGAATTACATTAAGTTCTTCTCCATATATTTTTCATATCTAATGCAGAATTCAATATTATACACAACATGCAGCAAGAATTCAGAACTGACACATGCTTCTACTTGTTTTTAATAGAAAGAATGTTACCACCCAAGCATATAACCAAGCCTGAAACCTCCTCCTTATGAAACAAGTTACCAGATACCATTGTCAATAAACATATAGCTTCTCCAATTTTATTCACTGTATCTTCTCAGGAGAAACTTATAAAAAGAACGGAAATACGAGTAGGTATACTCATATGTGGTTTTCTGGTTGATGACAGGTGGTTTCCACCGTTATGGAGAACTTACTGCCTCCATCTTCAGGGCAGAAAACACTACCACTCTACATGGTAGCAGAACTCAGAAACCACAATATAAGTCTTCACTGCCATGAAAACTTAACTTTCTTACAAGTTCTGACATCTTCATGGCACAGATTGTTATGACTGCAGCGTTCTGAGTTGAGAAATGAGGTAGTCTCGAATGTGGATATTAACATTTTGGAGGAACATGCTGCCAACATTTTCAGGGTCAAGGTCGGCATGTTCCCTAAGAAATACTAGTATCCACCTGCAAGACTACATGGTCTAACAATCCAGATGACCACAATCCATAATCTTTTCTTGATAATTTCAAAGAGTATCAGAATTAATTCTTAACTCTTAACTCTTTTTATAATGGCCTTTTGATAACATGTCTACTGCTGGTGTTAGCAATCTCATTCCATGCAGTGCAAAGCATCTGGCAGTAAACCTCCATCAGCAGGAGGTGTCATATTAAATAATAAACTTGAGTATACACCTTCAATTCAATAAAATCTACTTTTATAGGAAGTTATTCTTCATGCATGTTTTTTTTATTAAAAGAAAGAGATAGAAGACATGCCACATGAAGCAACAAGAAGACTCTCACCGGTTTTAACAAGTGGCGGCTACGATCAATGACAAACTGACAGAACTGTGGGTCGTGTGACCCAGGAAAGTTGAGGCCTTTCATCTGATGGGAGCAAATGACAGAGAAGAGATACACACAGTAACACAGCAATCTGCTATGGGAAGCCAGTGGAACCCTCTTATAATGCTCTCAGACAAGCAAAAAATTAACTTTTTCTAAAAATATCCAAGTCACTTATATTAAAGCAGCATTTATTTTCAGAATATTTTTTTCTGAATAGCATTAAATAGTTTTTATTTAAAACAAATCGTAATGAGAAAAATAAGGCATAAACGAAATGTGCAAGAACACAAAGGCACCAACACAGCCTTTCAAACTTCTTTATTATTGCAAGTTAAATTGCAAACTTTTAAATATTTCCCATCACAGAATGTGATCAGCAGCTAAACAATTAGATTAAATTTAATATAAGTTGGTTTTACTAATTAACAACTTAATTATTTGTAAGAGAAGATTACAGTCATCTGGGCTATGGCATCATATACTCTGGTACCAACATTACTCCAAAACAGTGAACATCACACCAAATGGTGTCACATCCCTTAAGACAGAAACCTTCATAGTCACAACCATAAGAACCTCAAATATCCCATATTTGCGAGGTTTTAAACTTAATAAATGGGGAACAATATTCATAAGCATTCGTGATGATGGGCCAAATTGACTAAAATATAAGAGGTAAAGTTGTCACTGAGACTAACATCATGCCACGAAGATAAATGAGGACAGAGGATATAACTCCATGCATTCTTAATCACAGTACAAGATAGTGGTAAATTAGATCAAAATATGAAATTAAATTAACATACTTTAAAGGGCAGTAGGGACAACATTTATGATCATAATATCTTTGCAAAGGAATAAGTGACTTTCTGAAATCCAAATATGACAAATAAGGTATCAAAGCATGTGTAAATCCTTGATGCTATGAGGTAGGAATGGTCACACTATTCAGCATCAAAGTTCTGTGGCTAATAAGAAGACTGATCTTGATCTTGATCTTGATCTTGATGTGTCTATCTGAATGTGTGACATTTATTAACTGTGCTATACCTGGACAGATTTTTATAAAACACGCGAACTTCCTTAAGGAATATGAAGAGAAAAGGATATATCCCTCAGCGACCTACAATTGGGATCACCAATTTGCTTGAAGGTCTAATGTTTGACATGTTTACCAGACAGAAAGAAGTAAAACATTTTAGGTTACATATATGTGTAAAATAAATGTGAGAAAATGAATCCCAAATCATAACAATGATTCTGGGATGGATTTTTTAGACCTTCAATTGGAATAATAATATGGAATACACCAGATCTTAACTATGCAGTAAAGTAATTCTATTCTGTTTTGTTTAAAATTTAATTGTAAGCTAAACATTGAATTTCAATGATCTCAGCTGATTTCATGGAGCAGGCTGGCTCATGTGATACTTCAGATTTGTATTTGGGAAGTGCCCAGTTCAAATCTTGGCCAGGACAAGAACTATCCCAACAACTTTCATGGTTTTCCTCATCCCCTCAAATTCACTGTTTATCAATATTCCTATCATTCAATACCACACAGTCTGAGCTACTGAGAGCATCATCACATACACCTTAAATAAGTAAGAAAGTAAGGAAGTAAACAAATAAACTTAGCTTAGTTCACTCAATTCTTTATTTCCCTTTATGTTTTTAGCTGTCTTAATTTGTAGCTCAAACCTGGGGCCCCTTAACAAAATAACCAAAAACAGAAATTTGGAGAATGCATATAAATGTAATTTGTTCAACCATTGCACATAACTACAAGTATTATGTTTTTGGACATTAGCCATCATCTTTTCTATTTTTTAAAAACTGTCCCATTTCCTTTTTAAAACACAACTGAGTAGGTTTTACCTGAGGATGGGGCCAGAATCCAGTCTCTGAAACATTGTGTTTTAAAAGAGAAACAGGCTGGGTTTTTTTAAAAAATAGACCAGACGACGGGTAATGTCCAAAAACATAATACTTGTACTAACGTACCATCGTCACAAACTTTTAGATCTCATTGTAAATAATTTTAACATTACAGCTTTCCTACTCCCCTTTAATGGCTGCTGATCACACGGATAACTATATCTATCTATAAGTATTTTTCATTTCATCAGTAATCTCTCATATGACAGGTCCACAGTCTCTTCCAAAACAGTTCCTCCACTTAATGCGATCTAGAGCTTTCTCCTTCAAATAAAAATATCCTCTTCTGTCCCCAAGGTCATCCAGCATCTTCTTACGTCTTTTTCCTCGTCTTCTGGTCGCATACATGGTATCTCTGTTTGTGGAAGGAGCCTATCCCGGAAAATTGATAATGTGGTAGTTTTTCATTTGCTTTCCACATCACAGTACAACAGCCGTTCAAACCACTTTGGTCACGTCTGTTGGTATACAAACTTGAACCATCTCGAGCATCATTTGCTCTGTGCTTCAAGTCGCTGCTGATGACACTGCTTCCGGCATCAGTTTTTGGTTTTTGGTGTCTCTCTTCGTCTGATACCTACCCTTTGACCTGTCCAGCAAGGGAGGCCTTGCCAGTAGCTACGCTACCGCTGGTATAGCTCTCAGGGTCCTTGGCATACTCAAACCCCCTCACCACGATAAGGTGGAGACACCAACGAGGGGGCTATAAGTATTTACTGATTAGAAATTTATTCACTGTATTGGGATGAAATGTTTTTCAAGAGTCCAAACTATAGCTTCACAATATTATAATGGACACAGTACTTTTATAACAGATTTTTCATTAAGGCATTATAAACAGGTTCCACTAACAGTGCAACGAATTATGAAAGTGGTATGCCAAACAGACTGTGTTAACCCAAACCATGGCTTCCCAACTCATCCAGTGTCTTTGAAATTTACATAAAACAGCTATTTATATTAATAAATAACAAATTTATTCCCCATTAACCAGTCAAGTGGTTATGACGTCTATAGACATCATGCAGTACTGTGTATCATAGTAGCCATGAAGTCTATAGATGTCACACACATTCTTAACTACTGTGTTGTATATATGACGCCAGTGAGCAATGGAAACTGTACACTGTGTTTGCAAGCTGTTCTAGCTACTTGTGGGTGTGACAGGAAGTTGCTGATTGTTTGATAGCTGTCCTGGGTTAGAGTTCTTTTGACTAAACACTATGGCAGATCCTAGCAAGAAAATGCGTTTAAGTGATGGGGTGTTTTATGAACTGTTACAAGAGATTGAATACAGTGGAATTTCAGAGATTGAATATAGTAGTGATAGTGAAATAAATGTGAAAATTATGTTAGGTGATGAACACAGTGTCAGATCTGATGAAGCAGAAAATGTCAGTGACAACAGTAGCATGCAACCTGACGTATCGGCAAATTCAGGTGCCGAGTGACCACATTTTCCATTTACTGGCAAGCCTGGCATAAATGTTGATTTAGAAGACCCCAGTAAGGCCCTTGAATATTTTGGGTTGTTGTGTACACAAGACATTGCAGAAGTAATAGCTAGAGAAACAATTCGGTATGCCCAAAAATTTATATAAAACATGCCTAATTTAAATGTAAAATCTAGGACCCATCACTGGGCTGGTACTGAAAACTACATTATTATATTCTCAGTATCTCCCACTTGAGTTGTACAACGTTTCCTGTGATATAAACACTTCACTGATGATTTCACAGTCTGTAAAAGATAACGATTATGCAGTGATGTTTGGAAGAACAGTTCAGTTCATTCATCCATACTAGTCTTGAGCTTGCAAAAGAAGTATAATTTTTAAGCCCATGCGGCAATAAGAAACTTAGCCAACTATTATGATCATGTTTCATTTCTGAACACCAGGCACTGATGAATGTGCATGACAGGCATACGTGTGAGATCACATAGTCTGAATGGAAATGAATGCCAGTGGTGATATTGGTGGACTTTTTTTTAGAATAAAGCCAAAAGTACAGAATTTTACTAAAAAATAATATAAACTTTATTGTAATGGCTATAGAACTGAAAATATAGGTATGTGAAGTCTGATAATTGGTCTTTCAGAAGCTTTTTGTTCCATAATTTTATAATGACACATGTTGAGATACTGCATCTTAAAAACGGAGCAAGAATTATAAAATTAAACACTGTGATGTTAAATTTGAATGTCCAGGGGATTTTAATGTGCTACTGTGGGAGAGATAAGAACAGAAAAGAACCACTTGACTGGTTAAGTTCTTATCATTGACAGGAAGTGCAGTATGTGTACAAATAATACCTTTACACATATCATGAAACTAATATACATTGTTATATCACTGTTTAATCACATTATTGACACTTTAACTTACAGTCAGCAATTCATAACCAGAAGATCAAGATATATATCTACTATTATTTCCATCTCAGAAGAGTTGTCGTACCTGATTCATATCAGAAGTTCCCAAACTTTTATACATTGCACCCCCTTTAAAACAGTTCATAAATTTCATG